CATCGTATGAAATAATGATACAGATATTTCCGTTAACACTTCCAATTAAGCTGCTATTTGTAGAAGCGGGTTCATTCATCACAATAGCTCAGGAGCGGTTGACTGGGATCGAACTATCGACCCTCAAATCGGTGGTTTTTCCCTGCCTGTCCTGGACCTCAAACCTTTAAGGCTTATTGACGCTTATGCTCGTATTACCACAGAATAATAATAAGTACTACGTACAGAAGTTTTACTTCGCGAAGGTATTTAAAAAAATGTATGCTCAATGTCATTAACAATATGGTGTAATTTAGCCTATCTCAAGAGTCAAGCACCATTTTGTTGACAAACGTCAGTGATCGGCACTGCGCCGAAGCTATAGGGCTGACTTCGGTAAAGTGATGTGACGTGAGGTGCCAAACTGCGGAAAATGGCGGAGGAAATACATGATTTAGCATGAATTATCATGAATAATATTAACTACTTATTTACCTCTTAGTGTCTTGAGGCAACTTAAAAAAGTACATTCTGTGTTTTTATTATTATTTAGGCAGTTAAATTTTGCACAGTATTTAGTACACCATTTTCTTTATTTTCTTCCATCATACACAAGAATACGCGTGCGTGAGTCAATGTTCGCTTGTATGTGAGGCCTTGTCGAATAGTATCCTGTAGGTGGGCCATCGTGCGTGTTTTGTTTTCGATGTAAACTCGCGGAGATGAACAGGCCTGGTATTACTATCACTGCAATTTAAAATCTATGTTCGAGTTTATGCCTTTCAGCAAAGAAGCTAAGTAAATATAAAAAATTTCCTTAACTACAATCGATATTACCCATGCTTCACAGAAATCTATTCTACAAATATTATGATAGAATACATTTTAGTAGTACCTAACTGTTAAATACTACAATATCACAAAATCTTAGCTTAATCTTCCGTACATCTTTAATTACTTAACTTCCAACCCAAAAAGTGCTGCTTATTAATATTTATTCAAGTTGAAGTGAGGAACGCCGCGTGCACCGACCTCGTTTCCCGCAACTCTTGAGCAATCGCAATCGTTGTTGCTCGTGAAAACGCATCGCAAGCAGAAGCCAAGTCGATGCTCTCAATACCTACTTGTGAGCACCTACCTCCAAATAATAATGAAACATTTAAGGCTGTTTTGATTGACCAAAATGAAAACAGATTAACTGCTTATCGTTATTTATTTATTTGTTTAGGATTTACAGTGTGTTATAATGACATAAGATAGGCAACAAGTAATTAAACCACTTATAGGTTCCCACAGGTAAAATTCTGTTATTAGTAACAGTAACAGTAGTTATTGGGAGCTTACTTCATTAATTTAATTTATTTCACGCGTTTATTAAACCACTTTTTAAAACTATCTACCTAGCTAGTTAGTTAACTTAGTTGTAATAAACCAGTATGAAGCCAGTTATAAACGTTTATGAAAACGCTTTTACCGGCTGAAAACCGAGAGCTGAGATGTTAGTTATCTTAATTCATATCACGATCGATTGTAATTTTTTCAATAAAGCACATTTTTTATTCTCTTCGTGTTTAAAGGGTGTACAAAAAATGAAACCTATTCAGCCATTGGACTATTGAAGTAGCTTCTGCTCCTGCCGTGCCGTGCCCTTCACACGCTTGGGTTTAAACCCGATTTGGTAGGTATATGTATCACTCAAATCTTTACCGTACCTACTCCGCCTCGCGATTACAAACAAACACGGTCGTGTAACAAGTAGCAAAGAAACTGTTCTGAAGCACTTTTTATTTCTTAGCAAAATTTTCAGATATACCTACCTACAGGGTGGAATTTTGTAACGCCACCTGGAAAGAATGCAGTTCTCTTTCTTTTCAAAAATAAAGGAATGTTTTCTTTGAGTAAAATTTTCTATCTACAGTATTAAGATCACTTTACCTCCAGGTAGCATTACAAAATTCCACCCTATTATGAATTTTCATTTCATAAAAGTATGACAATATTTTGTAAGCCCCATTTTCCCTGAAAAATATAAAAAAGAATCCCTGCACTTTGTGTTGAAAATTAAATGTTTATGTATACGTATTTACTTAGTCCGTTAACATGATTAATCAGCTTCTTTCCGCTACTACTAGTTACTAGCGGCTACTAGGCCTGGATGGAGATTCGCATATGGCGTACTTAACAATCCAAATGTTGCACAATCCAATCCCGTTGGATACAAATGTTAGTGTGCTGATCAGGAACATACCTACCTAAGATTTATATGTAGTAGGTATAATAAATTATGTAATGCTTATTCAAAAAGTACCTAGGTTCATTGGGGTATCTCCGTTACCTATAGATAGATATTCGTCAATTTTACCTATCTAGACATAGAAAAAATAATGCAAAATTCACTAACTTTATTTTAACACCCACTTTCACTAAGCTTTCGACAGATTTTCAATTTAAAAGCTTTTTAAATAGGATAGGAGCACTTTGAATTAATTGTTACTTAGTATTACAGAATAGTTTGTGAACGTATAGCATCTTATAGACAGTAAATTCTTTAACTTTTAATAGGTATTGAATCGATTTATCGCATGTTACCTAAATACAGTTTAAAAGCCTATAAATAAGTATACCTAAATATACTAGCTTTAAACATTTCCAGTCATTAATTCATCTAACGCCGAGATAAGGGAATACTCGTAAGTAGGTAATTAAACTTTTATTAAGTTTATTAAACTAGTGATATAATAAATACCTAATTATGTCGTAGTTTTTTATCCGACTACGACAAAGCAAAAGGAGGGTTATGATTTTGACAGGCTTATGTATTTAACAGTTTNTTTTTTTCTAGCTCAATTTAAACAGTTTTTATGACTATGATGAAATATCATGTCCAAATTTATAAATGTCTAGGCATTGAGTCATCAAAGTGATAATTGTCTTCAAATTAATTTGAAACCGCAAGTCGCAACCGCAAGCGTTGCAGTCTGATACTACTTACCTCAGATCATAGAAGGGAATAGATGTGAAACGGGGGCGTGGCGCGTGTCTCCGCGATATGCCCAGAAACGAACATCGGCCGCGTAGCTAGGTTAGTCGCGATTCAGTCGTACTAAGGAAATGTTCTCCGGACTTCTCCGATATTTTGGATAATGCGTCGTTACGTGCAATAAAACAAGTGAAACGCAGAACTACAGGAACAATGGTATCATTTACTACATGTAAGTATTGAAAATCCATTGGTATTTTGCTTATAAATAAAAAAAACTAAACATTTTTACGAACGAATTCAGTGCCGTAACAGTTACTGCGATATCGAAATCAGTGGTGATAAAAATTCAAACACACTTGTACATTGACGATTTAGTTAGCAACCACTTTATGTCATGCTCAACTACTGCGCAATGTATTTAATTTCTTCCGATATCCACTGTCGTGTGAAAATACACAGTACGGCCGCATGTGCCGGTCGTAACATAGTGCCGTGCTCGTGTTCTAATGCGGTTTCCTATTATCGATAAATAGAAGTAAATTATAATTTTCTATTTTGTAATTTTAAATAAAAAAATGATGTGTTACTTGCGATTATAAGATTTTACAAAAAAAATAATAACAGTAGAAGTAATTAGTAACTGTCAACTATGTAATTACTATAAGAGCTAGTTGAAAGCCTAATAATAGGCATTATTTTTGATAAACATTATGCGGTACGCAGATCGCCATAATTAAAAAGTAAATTCGTGATAGTAGTTAATAATAACGTATAATAATAAAAAGGTTTTCATACATAAGCATTTTGTGAAATCAGTTTCGATCCTTGCCCCTAGCGATTTAAAGTATCGATATCTTGTCGACTCCATTTTATCTTTGTTCTCTCACTAGCGTTTTCAAGAAGCACTTTTTATTTCTTAGCAAAATTTTCAGATATACCTACCTACAGGGTGGAATTTTGTAACGCCACCTGGAAAGAATGCAGTTCTCTTTCTTTTCAAAAATAAAGGAATGTTTTCTTTGAGTAAAATTTTCTATCTACAGTATTAAGATCACTTTACCTCCAGGTAGCATTACAAAATTCCACCCTATTATGAATTTTCATTTCATAAAAGTATGACAATATTTTGTAAGCCCCATTTTCCCTGAAAAATATAAAAAAGAATCCCTGCACTTTGTGTTGAAAATTAAATGTTTATGTATACGTATTTACTTAGTCCGTTAACATGATTAATCAGCTTCTTTCCGCTACTACTAGTTACTAGCGGCTACTAGGCCTGGATGGAGATTCGCATATGGCGTACTTAACAATCCAAATGTTGCACAATCCAATCCCGTTGGATACAAATGTTAGTGTGCTGATCAGGAACATACCTACCTAAGATTTATATGTAGTAGGTATAATAAATTATGTAATGCTTATTCAAAAAGTACCTAGGTACATTGGGGTATCTCCGTTACCTATAGATAGATATTCATCAATTTTACCTATCTAGACATAGAAAAAATAATGCAAAATTAAATTCACTAACTTTATTTTAACACCCACTTTCACTCAGCTTTCGACAGATTTTCAATTTAAAAGCTTTAAATAGGATAGGAGCACTTTAATAGTTTGTGAACGTATAGCATCTTATAGACAGTAATTATTCTTTAACTTTTAATAGGTATTGAATCAATTTATCGCATGTAATATAATATAATAAATCGCTAAATAATAATATGTAAAAATATCGCAAGTTAAATGAAATCTGTAATCATCAGCTGTTTAAACCACAGTTTAAAAGCCTTTAAATAAGTATACCTAAATATACTAGCTTTAAACATCTCCAGTCATTAATTCATCTAACGCTGAGATACTTATGGGGAATACCTACTCGTAAGTAGGTAATTAAACTTTTATTAAGTTTATTAAACTAGTGATATAATAAATACCTACCTAATTATGTCGTAGTTTTTTAACAGTTTTGAAGACGAAATAAGTAGAAAAATAAAAGAATATTTTCAGTAAATATTTTATTAGGAAAACACAAATCCTCCTATAGATATTTTTGTTTTTTAAATGTATCTATTTACAATTATTAGATTAATCAGTTGTTTGAGTCATAGTATCAACTTATGTATAATTTTAATAGTACACATTATACTTTAACGAAGCTATGCATATGCATAAATTTACGACACAACCATACATTTAACACGGTGTTTCAGTAGCCTTCCCGACGGAATTCTCGGCTAAATTGTTCCACCATAATGATAAAGAAAACTATAAACTGGAACCGATGATAATTAAATTTCAAACTTAACAAAAGCACGAGAGTCGTGTCGCGCGCGCCTTCAGTATCGCTGCCAGGCGCAGGCGGAGGAGGCTGCGGCGGAGGCGCCGGCGCGCGGCGCCGCGCCCTGCCGTCACAGCTCCGAGAAGAACTCGGGCGACGAGTGCGGCGTGGGCGGCGCGTGCTGCGGCACGGCGTGCTCGCGCCCCACCAGCGCCAGCCGCTGCTTCAGCACGTCGCGCTCGTGCGTCACGCGCGCCACCTGCAGCTGCAGCACGTGCAGCTCGTCCTGCAGCGAGCGGTTGGTCAGCTCCAGCTCCTGGCGCTGCTGCAGCCGCTTGCTGCGGCAATTCTGCGCGTAGCCGCGGTTCTTCAGCGTGCGCCGCTTCTGCTTCAGCCGCGTCACGTCCTCGCGCGGGAAGCCGTGCAGCCGCTTGTTCAGTTCACGCACACTCAGAGTCATTAGGAGGTCGTCGCTGATGAGGTCGTCGCCGCACGACGAGCCGGGGTAGGACTGGTGCTGGCCGGTGCGCGGCGACACGGCCGAGCAGGAGCTGGCGGGCCGCAGCGCCACCTGCTGCATGTGGTGGTCCTGCTCGCGCCACTCGCGGCGGTCCCAGTCCTCGAAGTTGCCGCAGGGCACGGTGCGCATGTCGAGCGGCTCCCGCATGTGCGGCAGCCACAGCACGTCGTCCACGAGCGCGGCGCGGCACGGGCTGCGGCCCACGGGCGCGGGCGGCGTCTCGGGCGGCGTGCTGGGGTCCACGGCGATGGCCACGTGCGGCTGCGGGTAGGGCCCCGCGTCGGGCCAGGGGCGGCAGGCGCGCGCGCAGGCCGGCGGGGTCTCCATGAGCTCGTGCCAGCCGCTGCGCAGCGGCTCACGCTTCACGAGGTGGTGGTCCTCCAGGTGGTCGAGCTCGAAGTTCTGCACATACTCGTCGGCGAGCTGGTCGCCGTCGGCCTCGCGCTGCGGCGGCGGGACGGTCTGCATGGCGCTCGCCTGGGAGCAGTCGACGAGCGCGTGCTCCACCATGGGGCCGTGCGGGGCGCGCGCCGGCCGGACTCGGACTGCCGCGGCGGCACAGGGCGGCGCGAGACTCCGCCCTCCGGTCCAATGACGTCGCGAGACGCGCGCATTCTATACGTACTTTCAGTCTTTTGTTTCTGAGAACATAAGTTCTCAACTACACAACACGCAATACTATAAATACAAAAACATGGCACACAATTTTGTACACGGTTACTTATCTTCACACATTTTGAAAACTAAACACTTTTGCTAAACTATTTGATGCTACATGTGTACTTACACTACAAAAGTACCATCATGACCATGAAAAAAATTAACTTAGGTTTAGAACATAAACCCGACCAACCACGTAAAATACTTACACCGCAACATTATTGCTACGAAATTCGTAGTCGACTACGACGTCTACAAAACTACAGAGGCTTCGAGCTACGAATATCTTCCATGTAAATTATGTTTTTTTCACCCGACTGCGCCAGAAGGAGTTATGTTTTTTCTTGTTATCTGCTAATAGTGAGTTTAGAATGGTTTTTTGTGAAAATTGTACGGTTCACTCACATTCCTAAATACAGAACTGACATTGCAAAAAATAATAAAGTATAATGCAATTTCTCATTAAACATAGTGGTTTCTAAATGTAATCTTAATAATATTATAAACTCCTGCCACATCAAAATTGCAACCCTTACAATTTACGAATGCTCGTTAGTTATATTTGCGCGGTTATTCGGCAGGCAGCCGAACAACGGGCAGCGCGAACAAAGTGATTTCACGCGTGCCCGCACAGCAAGGGTTGATCAGCAGAGCTTAATCACCGCCACTTTAAACATGGGCCTTATTACGCGCGTTTAATTGAATCGACGCTCGGTACGGCCAACAATAAATAATAGAGATACTGTTATTATAAACCCGTCAATATTTTAACTTTGTTCGAGCTCTTTGCTAATTAAGTAGATACGATTTAGTGAGAGAGGTGCCCATGGTTTATCTTCATTGTTTAATGTTATTTCATTATCTAAATAATATGGTTTCAAATTATGGCATGAGAGTGAATATTTTATTAACGAAAGTGAAAACTCTTTACAGCGATATTTTCGTGAAAATATCCAGTTTCATGAAATACCTACTCGATTATAATAAACTGAGAGGCTGCAACGTAGTAGGTACCGTCAATAGGCATTGAATCCATGCATTGAATCTAACAAATTGCAATAAATAAGATCAGGGTAATTTACTTAATACCGATATTTCAGGAAGCAACCAGCAACTCCAAGATCAAATTCCTTCAGAAATAAATTCCCGTGAAAACATTGGCATGTAAGAGATAGGGTTGCGGCTCGCGCGCAGCGGCCCGTGGGCTGACGCAGCCGCCCGCTGTTTGCGCGCCACGGTCAACATTGTTAGCGCGTCCTCCCCGCTGCCCGGGTAATACAGCCAGTTCATTTCTGGTTATTTTATTTTAAAACTGGAAAAGGTCATCATCATCATCATTTCAGCCATAGGACGTCCACTGCTGAACATAGGCCTCTCCCAATGCTTTCCACGTTGGTCGATTGGTTAGCGGCCTGCGTCCAGCAGGTGCATTGAAAAGCAGCGCATAAAATTGGAAAAGGTATCGTCATTTTAATGATACGATCAGAAAAGATTGGTATTTTAATTTCAGATAATGTGTTTTATTTATTTCAATAATTTTAAGCTTTAAATGCAAGATTTATGTGGGGAAATTCGCATAAATCACTGGTTCGGCTTTTAGAATCTTTTTTACGGTGCCTGATCAGGCCCTAACAACTACTTACTTACTCATGGAAAATTCGATAACCTTTATTAATTTTTAGTCTCATAAAAACCTATTTACATTAGAACTGAAGATAAAATAAACTGATGCTGTGAAACTAATTTAGATGAGTTGGCTTTTCTGCGTGGGCTGTATTCGGGCACCGAAATGATATTACATGATTAAACCCCCGACACGTTACTCGCTGTTTGACCTGGCTTATTAATTGCTCTCTTTCACTGAAAGTAAATCAATTATAACGCACCAGATCACAAGCAATGAATTAGCGGGTTAAGGGTTGCACCTTGTTATAATAACATTATCTATTGTACAAAACTAAGTAAGTAGACCTTATATGATTAAACTATTTGTAAACATTATATAAAACATTCTTTCATAAGTACCTACTTAAGGTAGGTATGTAGGTAAGAATGTTTTATATAGATAATAATATAATGTTAATTAAGATAGGTAAGTAAGTATACCCACAATTTTTGCGTTATCAAATCCAACATCCGACATTCAGTACACTTTTTAGACATTCCTGTTTAAATAGGAGATAAACTATGGCAAACTAACAATTTAACTAAGCGGTAAGTAACTCATCTGAATCTTGGAAACAAGAGAACTTAGCTTGTATCCCGCGGATAACGGGTGGGTAACCTTTAAGTTAAAGGAGCGCCGAGTGCGAGCGCTGGTGTACCGGGCATGTTCGCGGCAGCTCATCATCAAATATAGGTAAGTAGATAACTATTTCATACGCCACTAACAATAATTTAGCTATAATCACGGTAACGTTTTTTAATAAAAAACCATCTGAACCTTAAAACAAAAGAGCGGAGCGTCTATCCCGCGGGGATGAAAGGCGCGCCGAGTGCGAGCGCTGGTGTACCGGGCACGTTCGCAGTAGCTATCGGGAGCTCTTCATCAATTGATCGCACCACCCTCGCTCGGCGGCCGACGATCCCGCTTCACGGCGTGCGAATTTACATTCTATTATCGAACAACCAGTTACTTACCTATGGTTCTGTTCTAGAATCCGAGTATTAATTTAATAACACTTCTAGATTTTTGTCGTCGGATTTCTAATTTTCTAGTTTACTAACTGTAGCGCGATTGCCCTAGTTTGCTCAAGCGTTTAGCGTAAGGTAAACGGACATCATGGGGATTTCATTACAGGATGCAGTGGTTATTAGTTTTAGCTAGAATAGACTTAAAAATACAAAGTAAACAGTCTGTTTATCTACTTTAAAACAAATAGGTAAATAATTTAGGAAGTTTACAGTTCTAGGTGTGTACGTCGCTCAGTCCTACAGGTAAGTATGTCGTTTATTATAAAGGTAGAGGTAAAACTATTAGGAATGGAAGGTCGTGTGGTAGTTCTTTGGAATAAGACATCAATAGAGATCGACTTTAGCCTACGCTAATCGCCACTAACCGATAATTACGTTCAGATCGGCCTTCGGAGCGATCAGATAACCGGTCGCCGACCTCTGCATTACGCATGCCGAGTCAGAGGTTGCACTATGCGATGAGCGGTTGATGATAATACTATTTCACTTGCCACTACACGTGCTAAGAAACATTTCTTTAAAGATGTATGGAAATAGGCGGTAGGTATAAAATGTACTTTAAATGCGTATTTTTGTAAAAAAAAAAAATAGTATTCCGATATATCCAATCTCGTAATACATTCCTTGAAAGGGGTTAAAGTAGAGCTTATTTGCAGTCATTTAAGTCATATGACACCATGTCCGAAACTTGTTCATTTCAAAGTTATTCAAGATTTAAGTATTTTTTTTTAAAATCTCCAGTTTTTATGTTAAAATGTACCCTTGTAATGAAGAATACGGAATAAGTAATGTTAACTTTTTNGAAGTCAGAAAATTGATATCTTCATTTTAATTACTTTAATTTTCATACAAATCGGTTTTTTAAAATTTATTTTGAAAATTAAAAAAATTAAAATGATAATATCAAATTTCTGACTTCACCATACCATTTATATGCCCATGTTAACATGGGCTAGTGTCGGCTCATATACCCATTTACCTAACACCCTGTAGATGTAAAGGTATACCCACAATTTTTGCGTCGTCGTATTATTTTAATAACTAGCGGCCGCCCGCGACTTCGTACGCGTGGATCCCGTTTTACCCCCTTCATCTATCTTACGCGGTTTAGATTTTTTCATACAAATGTTTTTTCCCGCTAACTCCCGTTCCCGTTGGAATTTCGCAATATCCTGTTGTAACTAAGCTTTAAGTTTACTAAGGTACCTGCATGCCAAATTTCAAGCGTCTANAAGAGGGGTGCGTGGCCCACAGCGAACGTTACAACTTACTACAAAATTTGACAAATAGAAGAAAATACGTAAGTGTGCATTAATTTGTGCTATTGAGCACCTTATAATTATGATGATAATCTAAGATGATGCAATAAAGGTTTATGACTTAATAAATATGAATATATAATTATGTTAAGGTATTTAAAATAAGTTTGAGAGAGAAAAGATAATAATTATGAATAATAATAATAATATGTATTGAGTGTAATATCATTTACTTTTAATGTTGGTATGTGCAGTTTATACATTTGGGCAGGTAGGTAGGTACTTTAAATATTATTTTGGATAGATAGCAGATGTAGCTTGAATTTGAGTTTGAAGGCTCTGACTGTGACACAGTTACGTATTGGTGGGTCTTTTATAGCTGAGACGGTTCATTGTTCAATACAATCAATTCTTTCCTCTCTATTATTTTAGGTGCCTTATGTACGTATAGATTACGCACATTCTTTTTATATGAACGTAAGGGTGGGATTTAGGGGGTCACAAAACCGGTTTTACCGAAACCGAAAAAAAAACTGTATNTTTATTTATTTTTTTATGAAAGTATCTTACTAGACGTTTAAATTCAAATAAAAAAATAATTAAGTAGTGTTTGTTAAGGCCGGGTAGCAGAGAAAATGGCGAAAATGAGGTTTTCATTTATCATTTTTGAGGTACTAAACAGTAAAATTAAAGGCTAAGATTTTTATTGGGCATAGTTGAGAATATTTTCTAGGGCTATTAACGGATGGAAACACGATTTGATGAAGTTGACTCGATAGAATAAATTCCCAAAGTTACCTCTATTCGTTTTCTATTTATGGTTTTATTTTTAAAATAAGCGATTTGAGATTCTAATGCCCGTTTTCACCATCAATCCCTAATTTGTAAGTGACCTCTATGGTGATACATAACAGGAATTTTGTTTTTATAGGGGTCACTTAAAAATTTGGGATTAATGGTGAAAACGGAAATCTTTTACTAAACTAAAGTTCAGAAATAACTTGAGGGCTTTTAACGGATGAAATTTTTATATTGCGTCTTATTTAGTTACTATGTTAAAAAATGTGGAAAAAATCGTCCATGACGGCTTGGACAATCTCAATCAGTCGCGCGCACAGATTAGAGAGTAGGTATGTCTAAAGGTCGCGCGGTGGCGCTTACGGAGGACGGACGCGTGTCAGTTTTATGGCCGTGACAGTTCGCGATTTGTCAATATTTTTGACAATGATGACTTTGATGAGTCACAGTATAATAATATCAGTGCTACTGGAGAAAGCTAAAATTTTTGATAATTAAGAATAATAATTATCAATTTTGTCTACCTATTGAAATTTAAATCGTTCGCATCCTTTTAAACGAAGACTCTACTCATGATACATAGTACATTCCTCAAATATGAGACAAAACCAATGAGCTAAAATTACATTTTAATAGTACCTACATACAATCGTCTTACACTCTTTAGAAGACACTGACACTGATACAAATAAATAATAAAAAATTAGGTCAGTGGGTCAAATATAGGGGCAGCTGCACGTCACTGAAAGACGATTCTGTTTACTCGGCATCTGGGCTGGAGAACATGAACCCTTGTTTACAGATGCAGATGTAAATGGAGTTATAACTGGACAAATTTTACATGAAATGTGTAACAGAAATCAGTTAAAAGACACATACATGGAATACCAATAAGGTTGCGGAGGGAAAGCTACCTATTATAAACTAGCGGATCAATTAGACCAATTTTTATGGTTATAAAACCAAATAATGATCTCACGTGTCCTCTGTAACAGATGGATAGCGATTAATTCCAACTTAACAGTTTTATAGCCATAAAAGTTGGTTCAAGCGTAACTACCTATTTTTTGAAGAAGTGACTCTGGATTCTTCTACAGACACATTTTTGGGGTAAAAACCTTTCCTTTAATGAAATGAAGTTTAGAACTAGGCTTTTAAATGGTAATATAGTATAGTAATATTGGTGGGAAGTGGGGATGCATACGTTTGAAAGTGCCTGTCGCGGGTGGGTCGATTTTTATGATGACCAGTGTAGATACTTACTGCTTTTGATTTAATTACTTTTTATTTTTACAAGTGTTTGATAACTCCATGTCAGATTGCAATCAATGTCAAGTGAAATCTCAAATTGAAATGTCTCAATCTCAATGAGGAGGCTCTGCATTTATTCCTAGAATTCCCCTAACACCGTCAAATTACCCTTTCGAATTCAAGACAGTGCAGTTTCCCATCAAAATCTGCTTCGTAATGACTATAAACAAAGCTCAAAGTCAAACTCTAGCAACCTCTGCATAAACTCCCATGAGTGCTCAGAGCGGGTGCCTGCGCCAGGTAACCGCGTGTGATGCTCATAGTGATTTTCGATACAGAGCCCCGTAATACGTTGTACATAAATTATGGAAAGAAAACACCCAGACCAATACAAACAAATATGTATGCAATTTTAGTATGATATTTTTATTTATTAATTAACAAAAAGAGTGAACAAAATTGATGCGTGTACTGATTAATGTAATTAACCACATGCAAAGTTTCGTGAATTGCAACAACTATAATTTATTATCCAAGCTCTAAATAATCGCTACTACGAGTAACTGATCATATAATGTTTTTCTGATGAACTGATCATTAAATGACCTACCGATAGGTCGGGTGACGTAATCTTGAAATTATTTTGGCCGGCGCGGAACTTCCGGAAGGTCGGGTGATGCCACGCCTCTTTGAACCGTGTTTACTTTGGCAGTTATATTATTTTATATTTATTCGATTCTAAAATATATTCCCAAAAATTCTGAAAGGTGTTTTAATTTGTATCACTTGGATATGATTTGTATTAGAAAGTGTTGTGAGTGTGACGCTTGAACGGAAGGAAGTCAACCTAACCTAACCAACTGGTATTTTTATACTGTGTAGCCGCGAGAGCTCTTTGGCGCGCTGTCTTCGGCGAAGTATTGCGCGCGCAGATTTTGACAGCGTGAAATACCTACTTTATCAGAAATACCAAGCCTTAAACACCTGTACCTTTTTGAATAGCTAATAAATCAAGGAACTAAATTCTGTAATTTGTACACAACATTCCATACATTTTTTCTTGGAAATTCTTCGTTTAATTACCTAAAACATATTTTTTTTGAAAAATAATACATAGTTTTTTAGCTTTTACTTGAGTAATGACGATTCTTTCTTGCAAATTTTAATTTAAAATGTCAATCTTATTATTTAGCTATACGAATACAACAAAAAAAGTTAACATTATTCCATATTCTTCATTACAAGGGTACATTTTAACATAAAAACTAGAGATTTTTAAAAAAATACTTAAATGTTGAATAACTTGGAAATGAACAAGTTTCGGACATGGTGTCATATGACTTAAATGACTGCAAATGAGCTCTACTTTAACCCCTTTCAAGGAATGTATCGCTTTACCTGTCACCCTGTATATTATGTACTATCTATCAACCGCAAGAATAACCCTGGTTTTCCTAAATAAATAATTAAACGAAGTGTTAACACGGCACATGATCGCTGTGTGTAAAAGGTTTTAATTAGCTCCAACTTCAATTCGTACATATTATTTAAAATGTGACTGTATTACTATTTTTACATTATTGAAACACACTAAGAAAGTTTTTCATAGATTATCCTATTATAACATCATAAATTATTATGAATATAGACGACGCTACTGCAATGAAACAAAAATTAAATAAATATTTTTATTAAAAGTTCATTCAAACATTAATATAATGAAAACAAATTACAGCTACTTTTTGCATAGCCAATATATTTTATTTCTATAAGTTAACATTTCTAAACAAGATTGTATAAAAGTACAAAAAATAAATACATCAAAATGGCAACATTTTTCTACATAATATTAATTAAATAACTATATATTATAATTTGGTATGTGAACAATTCATAAAAAATCCTTGTATATTATAAATAATTATAATAATACTTTATTATGTATGTACATTCTGATTTATTTAACCGACGAAATAGTAGTTCATAGTCGAAGGAACATAAAAATGCATTTTCGGAATAGAAACATGGAAAACAGTCAGTCTTTTCCAAAATGTAAAAAATATACATATTATCAAAACCACTATACTTATTAATTATTGCATATAAATTATTAATTATTATTATTAATATTGATCAAGCACCCAACACCTAACCCCAACATATAAAACAGCTAATACCCAGATATTTATTATAATATTAATGTCTTGATGTCTAATTCTAATGTCTATTGTAACAAAATTTTTGGTATAATTATTTTTCTTTGACTCTGTATTAGTATTTATCTAACCCCTGTACAATAATAATCTTCATCATCTGAGTATTAGTAATCAACCAATTGCATATATTTTTACATACATAATAATTAATTTCATCTTAAAAATCTAATTTCTGATATTATTATTAATGGCAAGCACTTCTATTTTTCAAATATACACGTATCTTCTTTGTACATTGCTTAATCTGTATAATTTCGAGACACTACATATAAAAAGTATTCTTATTAGTAGAAATAGAGCCTTATTTTGATTGCAATTTTTGCAGAAAGAGTCTCGCGCAAATAACGTTGCAATTATATGCGAAAAACACTCTCTCTCTCTCTCTAAATATACACTATATGTGATTGACTATACTATACATGATTTGCAATCTTTTGCTGTACCTTAATAAATAAATACCTTTGTACAGTCGACAGCACAGAGAACATCAATCTAAAAACTGATCTTAAATAGTTGTAATTAGGTGTCTTTTTGTAACGGAAATGTATTTTTATGTGCAGTCGACTGTATATTGCACGCGATGTCCAGACGCGATAGAAAAGTATTCTTACATGTAAGAAATAGAGTTGTGTTTCTATTACAGCGAGCTATTGAATCGGCTTGAAGTGTTCGCGAGCGTAGTGATGGTAGGACATCATAATGACCAACGACAAAGCAAAGATCAGAGAGCCCCACGTTTCGAGATGAAATACGAAAAGTGTTCTTACATGTAAGGAATAGAGTTGTTTTTTGATTGATTGATAAATGGCTCGCTAGCCAGCCGCTGCCGGCGAGGATCAGCGAGACCCAAGTTTCGAGTTGAATAGATAAGTATTCTTACATGTAAGGAATAGAGTTTTGTTTTGATTGCCGTAATTGTATGGGCTAGAAGTGTTCCAGAGCTTAGTCATGGTAGTACATCATGATGGCTATTGGCTGACCGAGAATCAGTGAAGCCCATGTTTTGAAATGTAATAGAAAAGTATTCTTACATGTAAGGAATGAAGTTTTGTTTTGATTGCTGTTATTGCATAGGCTTGAAGGGTTCCAGAGCGTAGTCATGGTAGTACATCATGATGACTATTGGCTGACCCAGAATCAGCGAGGCCCATGTTTCGAAATATAATAGAAAAGGGGCCATCCATAAAGTACGTCACACGAATTTCATGATTTTTTGACCCCCCCTCCGTCCATGTCACAGGTGGTCACATTTCTGAGACCCCCCCTCCCTAGTGTGACGTCACATGTTTTGCAATTTCACTTCGAAAAATTATTAAATTAACAGCAGTTCCGAAATTAGTTTTATTTTAATTTAAATTAAGTACTTTTTTTTAATGAAATCAACATTATATCAAATATTTGAAACAATTGAAATGTGATGTCACAAAACTTAGGACCCCTCCCACCCCTTGTCACACCATGTCACACTTTGTCAACCCCCTCCCCCCCTCTTTACGTGTGACGTACTTTATGGATGACCCCAAAGTATTCTTACATGTAAGTAATAGAGTTGTGTTTTGATTGCAGTCTGGTTCTTATTGTATGGGTTTGAAGTGTTCCAGAGCGTAGTCATGGTAGTACATCATGATAGCCAGTGGCTGGCCGAGGATGAGGGAAGCCCACACCATCATGTTACCATAGCGGGGGCCGAACTTCAGCTCTGCGAAGCGCGATATCACTGCTAGAGGAGGCTGCACCATCATCCCAAGGAACGCCCAGATTCGGAACATTTGAAGAGGCACGCTGACCTGGAAATTAAATGATTATGTTTAGAAACATATTATAAAGAATTATTTAGGTAGTTTTAATAATGCAAAACTATCAATCAACAACTTGCCTAGAACGAACAATAAGATAGATAGGTAATTACTATTTCGTCGCGTGGCTACTTTCCCATAACATTTTAGACGTTCTATTGACGCAGTATCTTCGTAAAATATAGACTCACCAAGTACTCGTGGAAGAAAGCCGATATGAAGATCACGACAGCACTAGCCGCCATTTTGCTATACCCAATCTCCAAAACACGGAGATGTTGTTTGCGTTCACTCGGCGAAGTGAAGCAACTTGCCCATCAAGTTAAGAAGCTCAAGTAGAAACAATAAATACTCACTAAATACTCGTGGAAGAAAGCCGATATGAAGAACACGACAGCACTGGCCGCCACCTTGCTATACCCCATCTCCGTGATAGGGATGTACACGTGGCGCACGGCCCACACGTGCACCGGCATGTTCCACGTGCTCCAGAACACGGAGATGTTGTTCGCGTTCCACCAGTCGCCGTAGAACTTGCGGTCGGCGAAGTGAAGGAGCTCGCCCATCAGGTTTAGGAACGAATGGAAGCTTAGGTAGAAGAAGCACAGCCAGATTAAGTGGTTCGGCACCTGGGAATTGGATAGATGACAGTATTAAATAACCAATAATTTGAAGACAATATTTTCCTAAACCAATTTTAGTCCAGAAATGTCATTGGTATTCAATTGACTGTAAATACGATTAATGATTTTGGTAAAAAAATATGTCATAGGTTATCTTTACCACATAAATCTATGAGAGTATGACGTTTTAACAGCTAAGTTTGTTTTGCGTTAGTGTCAGACGTTCGAATGCAGTTTGATTCAGCACATTACCATGGCCACTATTGAAATTTGAAATACAGCTGTGAAAAGCTGTAGTAGTGTGTATTATAGAGTATTTATTATCCGTCCGTCTACGTTTTTTTAATAAAAGCTTGCCTATGGAAAATCCAATTCATAAAACAAAACTTACAGAAAGTTTGAGGAGTCTTTCAGTAATCTTGATCGGGTCCATTTGAGAGAATGGATCCACAGAATTGGTGACAGACGGTATCATCCATTGCTGGAACAGTGCTAGAACAAGGTTTATCCCGAACATAACTTCCAGCAGGCGTTTGACTAGGAACCTCTTCCTTATCCTGAAAAGATAAACGCATTTTATTGTGGCTGACGAAACCATAAAAAAAAACAAATGTAAGACTGAGACAGAAATGCACAATATGTATAAGTATTCATATCGCTCATCTTGTATTTCAAAACACTTAAGCCCATTACCACATATCCTTGACCTTCAATTCCATTGTAGACAAAGAACAAGCTAATTGTCACATTTACGACACGACTCGCTAAGATATAATTTAAAGTCTTGGTTATATGGTCTGGGCCTAATGAGAATACAAATTCCTATGATACTTGTAATTAGATCATGATTTGAGGCATAAGGGAACTTCATGCAGGATTACTAACCGTGTCGTGCGGGGGAAATTCAACTCATAACACAGGGTGGGGGCGAACAGAAAGTAGCACAGGTCTTTAAGGTGCAGGTTATCGGGGTACTTGACGAGACGAGCCGCTGCGATCGCGTCATTCTTGTCATCGTCGAAACTCTCTAGCAAAAAATATATTTTAAAATAATTGCCAAAAAAAAATTAAGAAAACTTTGAAAGCCAAAATGTTTACAAAGCTTATAGGCACGTAAAGACATTTACGCCCGTATTCATAAACATTACTATGAGGTCTCACAGTGCGCGGGGACGCACAGGCGGCACAGGGTGACACACGGAGCAATCACAGTGCGCTATTCAACGCTGTGCGTTCGATTTGCTGCTTCACTTAAGCAAGCATCGTTTGTGAATACGGGTAAGGTAAAATATAAAAAAAACATCCCAAACTGAAAATGTATCTACATACTTGAATGAAAAAAAATAAAACTGAATTAAATATAAAATATCTATAATCTTACTAATCCATATAAACTTTTTAGATTAGGTAAATAAACTGCGAATCTAATCAAATGGAACATGAATTTATCTTTAGATTTGAATTTTGGACTCAGTCATAAAAGGTAGATGCATTTTCTTGTTGTAAAAGTCAGTTTCCATTGATGCGGGTAGCGAAAATCTAAGGAAACGATATTTTTGAGGAAAGATTAACACATAAGACAAAAGAAAAGATAGAAGAAAACACACAACACACCGACTACTCAATGCTTCTCATATACTTCGATGGTATATGCGAGTTTCCCTCACCACATACATACACCAAGGCAAAAGTAATAAATTGAAGCATGTGATAGCAACACTAATTAAATTATTGATTAGAATTTTGTTAAAAAGTACAGAAAGGCCATTGAACCACTTGATCGATTTCGACATTAAGCTCACAAGATAAGGCGACGATAACGAGTTCTTTTGGCCATGTGACATACTTTTACCAGTACATTATTTCATTAGGTTTTCAATAGATAATGATGACTAATAATATTCCGTTGATGCATTATTCTTCCAAAAATATTAATTGGACTTGAAACCCGGCAATCAAACTTCGGAAAAGATACGGGAAACGTATCGCCAAGTATGCATTATATCAGAGACATGATTAAAAACTTACTAAAAAATGTCCTTCCTCCTATACTATAGCTACCTTCTCACTATCATAATATAAGATAGAGGTAAAAAACTCATTTATTTCTGTAAATAGGCTCAAAAAAGCACTTTTACACGGTGATTAAATGATGGCATGGATGGACTCTCAACACGACTGACGACCTTTGTACTGAACTTAGCCCTCTTTTCACATTAAAATTTATGAATCATAGCTAATGGCAGATACGTCCCTCGCTAATTACGTTTTCGAAAGTCATTTTGTATTTAGTCTAAGATTTTTTTATAAAAACTTATCAAGAGCTTAGATGATTAGAATAAATACTAAAATGTCGAAATCAATCTAGCAATCAATTGTGAAAAGCGCACAGAAATATTGGAGAACATTATTGTTTTAAAAGAAAGTTTAGAAACACAGCAAGATATTCTTTGGCCATCCTCACTCTCAACTTACGCTCTTGTTCAGGGTGCGTTAGTTTATCTGTAAATGATAACATTATCATCATACTATTACATGAAATATATTTAAGGAATGGAAATATTTTTACAAGTCAAATTCTATTAATAACTGTGTTTTTATAAAAAATACAATAATATGGAAGACTACCCAAAACTTTTTCTTAAACTAAGTCAACTAACAAGCATATTCTTTTTACTTCTTCAATCTAGATCTAAGTATCATCTAGCTAGGCACTTACTCCAATTAGGTGCTGATAAGCTTTGCCTTCTCAGTTTATGCTTGGCCATTTTTCCCTTCATTCCATTTCTACACCAGTGATTTGTTTGTGTGTAGCTCCACAACTTAAGGAATAAAATCAAATAGATCATACACACTGTTGTTATTCCCACTGTAAACAAGGAAAAATATTAAACAACCAAACAATAACTTGCAACTTAGTTTTAATATTATAATAATAAGATGACTCACCAAAACTAAATTCTGGTCCTTTGAAATGCAACACAACCACAGGCAATATTATCACAAATAAAATATTTGATATTTGTAAACCAAGACCTAACTTTTCTGGTAAAATATCCTGAAAAATACAAAGTCAAATGATTATTTCTTCAAGTTTATTATGAATTAATAAAATTAGAACATAAATACTTACCACAGCTACAGCTTTTTCAATCAGCAGAGTAGTCACAGCTGGTACAACACTGACTGAAAATGTTCAAATTGTTTTTATTTTTTAAATGGTTTAATATGTTGAATTGATTCCATTAATACATATCCAATTTTCCATACATCACTTTCAATATTGCTCAGACACATGAAATAAACCTCAAAGGAATATTCCTATCAGATTTAGAAGTACTGGTTTGCAATGTTTAAAAATATTTAAATAGGATCAGTAATTTATGATAGACTACTTATTTATGTGACATACATCTTCATCTCATATAGGAACTAAATAATAATATGTATAATCTCATACTAACATATTAAAAGAATGACTGATGGGAACTGGTAATTATTGCCTTCATTATACCCTGTAAGCACAATGATCCATTCAATAGGATTAACTCGAATTCCATACCTGCAATCAAAAATTCTTTGTTATAGGTACCTTGTTCCTAATCTAAAAACAGAGTAAAATAGTTGTGATTGTCTAACAATAAACTATTTAAAGGAATAAACAATTGTATATAATTTAGAGACTTAGGTCATACTTACTTGAGAATGTTCTCTAAAAACAGACGAACACCACCAATAGTTAGCATCAGAAAGCCCCAATTCACTAAGCCAGTGAAGTTTGTGAACTCAGAACTCCATGAAAACAAGGAATCTCTTGGTTTGTGGCATCTAGAAAATAATATTATTTCTTGTCAGTTTCTCTGCCAGCAAAGACCAAAAAATGAAGGAATTAAATAATAATAATATATCATTCTAAAGCTCCGGAAATTCATATTAATTTATTTAAAATGCTTCTCTATGTTGGGTAAATGCAAGTTGTAAAAGTTGATTCAAGGGCTTGTTATTATTTTTGGAACTACAAAACAAACAATGCCATAGAACATTAATTTCGCACAAGTTTTTCAATAGACCAGCACAATATTTTTGGTCGTGGTCATCAGATTGGAGATAAAACTAATAAAACTACCTACTTCAAATAATCAACTTGGCTACCAGTCTCTCTTAAGTTTTGTACAAATGATCACAATAAAAACGTAGAAAAAATAAGTATTAAAGGTAAAGCACCTATTTAAAGAGATTTCAACTTACGGTTTATCAAATTGAAGTCTACGAGCCTTGTTTTCTTTTTCAGTGATTTCCTCGGCTTTAGTTACACTTTGCGCCCTTCTATACCTAAGAGCTTTTTCCTCTGCTTCGGTAGTCATATTGTTGATTTATTTTTTGTATAAAACTGGCACTAATTAGATTTGTTAAACTTAAAACTTTAAAGTTAATAATTTAACCTTGACTTGCTTTTACCTTCATCTTCTTTTCAAAAAGACTGACTGACTGACAGGTGGATGGACGAGACATCTGACAACACAAGTGACATTGACACTGACAACAGACGATTACCATTAACCTACTAAAAATCTATAGACTGGCCATACATCACGTTTGACTAGCGAACTTGTTTATGGGGGGTTGCTAGAGTTGGTCTATGCCGAAGTATATGCCGAAGTATGCTCATTGGGCACTACTTAAAGTTCAACTGATACAATTTATTCCAACCCCAAAAGCCTATTTCTTTTTCTCCTCCCTCCGAATACAACACTTGCCGGCCATTTTATGTTCCAATCTTCCAATAGTATAATAGTAGACATTTATTTTGTAGAATGTAGAATATAATTTTAACCAAGACCGGTCCATATATTATTACAAGTCAATGACTTTACTCATAATCTGTGGAATGGACTTTATTGTCTATGGATTGGTCTTTGGCTCAGCTGTCAACATCCCATTCATCGTTCATTTCATTCGAGTTTCTTTCGAAGTATTTTACTTTTGTCAGCGTAATGTGAGAAAAGATAAGAAAAATATTTTATAAAACGATAACAGTTCTATCTAATTAAATTTACGAAGACTTCGTAATAAAACACGCAAAATGAAAATTTGGACATCAGAACACACTTTCAAGTAAGTTAAAAATGACGCAACAGTGCTCCATGAACCAATCCAGTATTTTGTAGGTACCTACACTCAAGGATAAATTTGATAATATTTTTTTCTAAAATATTACAGCCACCCATGGGAGACCGTTGCACAAGCAGCGTGGAGGAAATATCCCAATCCTATGAACCCAGCTGTCATTGGGACCGATGTTGTAGAAAGAAGAGTCGTAGACGGTGTACTGCATACCCACAGACTCGTCAGTTCTAAATGGTTTTTCCCGAGATGGGCCCAAGCAGTAAGTTGATTTAATCTATATTATAAGTGTTTAATTGATTACTCTACCATAATATTTGATACATTTGCTAATCCATTCTGAATTATTGAGTGAATGTCATTAATAAAATTAAAACCAGGAAGAGCATAATTCAGCATGTGTTGTTATTATTAGACAACCTTGAATATCTCGTGCAAATTATTTTCACTGCCAAGGTTACTTATGTAAAACAAAGATTCTTTGTGTAGAGATAAATGAAGACAGTCCAAAATACCAAACATTCCATTGCTTATAACTTAAAAATTTCCATTAAGAATCAGATGTCAATTACTAATAAAGAGGAAACAAGCTAATTACCTCACACCACAAATATGTTTTTATTTCTCATTGTAGGTAAACATTTATAATTTATTCCTCTTTATAGGTAAGAAACATGATTCACAACTGAGAGATTTGTTTTTGTATGATATTTTTTATTTCATAGATCCAAGAGAACAAAGGTTAACAAAACAAAGGATTGTACTCGTACATCAACACAAAGGTACCTCACACCAGTATATTTCCTGCAATTTAATTAAGATCCATTTTATTTTTATAATTTCAGCTTATTGGAACAGCCAAGATATGCTATGCAAGTGAGAAATCAGAAGTGAATCCTATTCAACGTCAAATGACACTGAAGACAACAAACTTAACATTCTGTCGGTACATTGCTGTGGATGAGACAGTGAAGTACACACCCCACCCCACAGATCCAGCTAAAACACTTCTTAGACAAGAGGCTGTGGTCACAGTACAAGTAAGTCGTGTTCAATTAATGTTATGATAAGAATAACATAGAGCATAATATTTTCGTATTTCTATATGTATAAGCATGTTAAAAATATTGGTTAATGATATATATGTTACGGTCAAAGTGATAAATGTGAAAATTATGAATAATCACCGGTTATTATTAATAATTACCGCATGATTTGGTAAATGTGATTAATATGAGGTCATTTATGTGTGTATAAAACTAAATAGGCGGCTTAGGGGTGACCCAAGGGCCACCCCCGCCGCACCTTAACCTATTTTTCACTTTAAATCAAAACATTATGTTATAGGCATCATGGAAAAGTAATATTATGCAAGAAACACTCCAAACTCATTATGCCAAATTATATTAATATATGATGTCAAAACGTTCAAAAGTTTGGCTGTACACGAGCACATACACAAGATGTTGTTCTCTTTTATGAAATTTGTTAGTACTATGCTTGAATTATTAAATAATCACTTAAATGTGATTCATTTATCACTTTTACCGCGACTGTCGTTTCAATTTATTACATTAACCGTAACACATACACCAGCCTGAAATTGAATACCTCACATTAAACTTTTAAAATAAACAGAGTACTTGATCTACACATTGAAAAATTCTGTCTGCTGCATCCTTTTGTTATCTTCCCAAGAGGAATATTAATAAAATTTAAGAACTGCCATTTAACTTGAGGGGTACATAACTTTTAAATCAACAACTTGGGTCATTAACAACTCATTAAGAATCCTAAATGATGAGTGCACTGATACTGCATAATTATGTATACAAATATGACTTCATGAATAGAGTCAAAGTTCGGTCATATCGTGCATTATTGATAAGGCTTGAAAAACGTGACTTGTATCTATAGCCATACAACATGCGTATGATGATGATAAGAAAGCTCGATAAACATATTAGATTACCTAACTGATTAGAAGTACACAAAGATGAAAATTTTTAATTTTTAAGTTCAAGATTTTTGACATTGTTTTATTTACTTGTCCCTATTAACTTTGTTAATTTAAATTTCTTTTTTACAGGGAGTGCCACTTAGTAGTTACATGGAAGATTTATTAGCAAATAAAATATCTCTGAATGCTGGAAAAGGCCGTCAAGCAATTGAGTGGGTAATTGGGAAAATTGATTCAGAAATAAAAGAACTTGCAAGCACAGCTTGTAAAAGTACTGATGAATTGCTTTCACACACAAAGAAGTCACTTGATGACATAACATCTACAGCCAGAAGATCTATGGATGATATCTCTTCTAAAGCCAAAAGATCATTGGATGATATAGAGAAATTCACAAAGGCAAATGCAAACCAACGAAGCTGAAAAGAGGAGTGACTTTCACAAGTAGAAACATTGAACAGTGCTGTTTTTTTTTGCAGTAAATATAACCCACATGTATTTACCTGATTTGTCTTATTTAATTAATGATTGAGGTGAATTTAATGTAATATACATAGTTTATTTATGATTGTAGCACAATTTATATTATTTGAATTATTTGTAGTAGTGATGTGTGAGCATTAGATCTGGCAACATTATGGGGAATTTGTGCATTTTAACCAGCTAAATAATGAACAGTGAGAGTCTTGTTAAGTATAGAAGTATTGAATTGATATGGTCTCTCTATTCTATGTTTGTATGTGTAAAAAGGGTAGATCAGAATAGGCAGTGTTTTTCTTGCTTAATAACCTTTGAGGATCTTGTATAAGCTGCTAACATAAAAGAAGTACATGTTAAAACTACATTCCTATTCTGATCTATGGTAATTATCTGAGGGTACTCTTACACATGCAATCAGAGAATGTAAAGAGTGAAAATTTACTGAAATATAACTTTAAAGTGAATGTTAATTGACAATGCAAAACATAATTGTAGCCAATATAATAACCAAAATGTGTACTGAGCTATTATTGCTCAAAAATTGCTTGTGTAAGAGCAACTTTTTAAGATGTAAAAGTATAATTTCATTCCATAAAAAACTGTTTGATGTTGTATTTGAAACCTACAAATAATTTGCATATTAAACATGTGGTGCACATTAAACATTTTGTTTTCTTTTTTCATCCCCTCCCATAGAGCAAAGTAATAATGTCCCCTCCTCTTCAAGTTAATCCTTCTTTTAAAGGCAAAGCTTAAAGATGGACCTTTTTTTATTAACAATGTTTACATTACTAAAAACTATTATTATTGTAGCCAAGCTGTTTTAAAACATTTAGATGCAGAATTTATTTGCTGGCTGTTTACAAAATCCTACTAATATTATAAATGCGAAAGTTTGTATGGATGTTTGTTACTCTTTCACGCAAAAACTACTGAACGGATTTCAATGAAACTACAGTATTATTGATTATAACATAACCAAGAATAACATATAGACTACTAGCTTTCCGCCCGCAGCTTCGCCCGCGTTGAATTTTTGTCTTTCACAGAAAAACTATCATGCGCGTTCCTGTTTCAAAAACCGGGATAAAAACTATCCTGTCCTTTCCCGGGACTCAAACTATGTATATGCCAAATATCATCAAAATCGGTTCAGTGGTTATGGCGTAAAAGAGAGACAGACGGACAAGAGTTACTTTCGCATTTAATATTAGACATAGATTAATTGCAGGCAAAAGCTAGTCTAGTCATAAAAAACTGTTTTTATTCAAACTAATCCAAAAAGTTCCTCAAGCTGAACTTCAGTTCTATGATAGGTATTCATTTATACTTATATTTTACTGGGGTAATATCTACTTTTAATAGTAGGGTTAATATCTGTGTTCTGCTTGTTGATTAAAGGCTGTTGGTTGGTACGTTTGGTGAGTATGGTCATTATTTTGAAAACAAATAGGTATGTGAAGTTTTTATTTACATCATCTGTAGGTGAAGTTTCAATTGCGATATTATGCTTCTCATAACAGTGTTATAATAATGAAAAATATTTCTTATGTTGTTGGGTTAATCACCTTTTAATATTATGAGCTTACAATATCCACCATTACAGATTACAATCTTACAATACAATACATGTTAAACTAAGCTAATCTAGATTTTATGAGAATTTTATTNTTTTTATATATATAGATGTTTACATTACTAAAAACTATTATTATTGTAGCCAAGCTGTTTTAAAACATTTAGATGCAGAATTTATTTGCTGGCTGTTTACAAAATCCTACTAATATTATAAATGCGAAAGTTTGTATGGATGTTGTTACTCTTTCACGCAAAAACTACTGAACGGATTTCAATGAAACTACAGTATTATTGATTATAACATAACCAAGAATAACATATAGACTACTAGCTTTCCGCCCGCAGCTTCGCCCGCGTGGAATTTTTGTCTTTCACAGAAAAACTATCATGCGCGTTCCTGTTTCAAAAACCGGGATAAAAACTATCCTGTCCTTTCCCGGGACTCAAAACTATGTATATGCCAAATATCATCAAAATCGGTTCAGTGGTTATGGCGTAAAAGAGAGACAGACAGACAAGAGTTACTTTCGCATTTAATATTAGACATAGATTAATTGCAGGCAAAAGCTAGTCTAGTCATAAAAAACTGTTTTTATTCAAACTAATCCAAAAAGTTCCTCAAGCTGAACTTCAGTTCTATGATAGGTATTCATTTATACTTATATTTTACTGGGTTAATATCTACTTTTAATAGTAGGGTTAATATCTGTGTTCTGCTTGTTGATTAAAGGCTGTTGGTTGGTACGTTTGGTGAGTATGGTCATTATTTTGAAAACAAATAGGTATGTGAAGTTTTTATTTACATCATCTGTAGGTGAAGTTTCAATTGCGATATTATGCTTCTCATAACAGTGTTATATTCATAGCTGGGCATTAACTCGTTAATCCGTTAATCGTTAATTAACGAAGTTAACATTTCTATTAACGGATTAACTTTTAAGTTAACTTGAAAAAATGTTAACGGACTCGTTAACTTCCGTTAAATTATCCTAAGTCCGTTAATCGTTAATCCAGTACCTACTATTTACCAAAAAGATACAGCAGGCACGCTGAAAAACGCTAGAAAAACGCGTTCTGACAAGTTCGTTCGGGCTTCCAGAACTTCCAGTACCCAAAACAACAGTTTTTGTAACCAGATTACTACTTAACGACACTTGTTTGTATGTGTGAGACAACTCTTGCAACTGAATTTAAGACCAGTTTTCCTGAACCGATTGAGCTGAAAGGACAGTGCCAATCCATGTATGAAAGTTGGACCAAGTGCTGCCCAGAATGAAACTATAGTGCATTTTGTTCCTCAGGCCAATACTAATTTGTAAACCGGAGCGCACTGAAATCTATTCCTGGAGTTAAGAGAAAAAAAGAATTTTGTTTTGAATTATTTACATACAAAATATCATCGATGTATACCTACTACGGATAAGACTTCGCGATTTTGGCATTAAATAACACTCGCTATGTTAAACTTAACCATACTGCATCCGTACACCTTACTTTAGTACGACTTCGACATTATTTATAAGCGATCGAGCGCTGTTTCAGTAGTTTAGTTAGTTGACCGAAATTAATTATTTCCAAAATGGAGCAAGAAGTTTTAGCTTACAATAACTTCAATAATCAATTTTAATATACCAATTCATTTTTCGCAAGGATAGAGAACTAAAACTTCTTGCTTCATTTTGGAAATAATGATTTCTGTCAACTAACTAAAATATTGCAACAGCGTTAGATCGCTTGTAAAGAATGTCTAAGTCGCACTAAAGTAAGGTGTACGGATGCAGTATGGTTAAGTTCAACATAGCGAGTATTATTTAATGCCAAAATCACGAAATCTTATGCGTATTAGGTATACATCGATGATATTTTGTATGTAAATAATTCAAAACAAAACTCTTTTTTTCTCTTAACTCCAGGGATAGATTTCAGTGCGCTTCGGTTTACACATTAGTATTGGCCTGAGGAACAAAATGCACTATGGGTTGATTCTGGGCAGCACTTGGTCCAGACCCTGGCACTATCCATATACTTATGGAAGTACGATGACAATGCAATGTTATGGTACCATTGAGCTGGTCTGATGATGAAGTCATGAGGTGGCCATAGGAACTCCTAAATGAAACGGCGGCATCGCATCGAATTTGGGTTCGTTGGATTTGTCTTTTCGAGCACTTTAGTACTAGATGATGTCCAGGGTCCTGATGATGGAGTCAGGAGGTGGCCATAGGAATTCCTTAACGAAACGGTGGAAACTTATCGAGTTTGGGTTTGCTGGATTTGTCTTTTCGAGCACATTGGTGCTAAATTGTATTGTAATTGAACCAAGGCTCTGAGATTGAGATACTACTAAAAAGCGTTTGAATTTTTTTTTAAAACAAGCTTTTATTCTGAAATGCAGTTGTACTAAAACGAAAAAAATAATTGTACTTATGCAAGGTTCAAATAATTTCGTAAGCTTGTAGCGCAAACATAAAAGAGGAATAAATTCCATGTGCGATACAAACTTTCAAAATTATTTGAACCATGCATACAATTATTTTTTTCGTTTTATTATCATGTATTAACGGATTAACGATTAACGTTAACTTGCGTTAAATCTTGCGAAATGTAACGTTTTAACGTTTAACGAAGTTAATTTTTTTATTAACGGTTTAACGATTAACGAAGTTAACTATTTGATTAACGGTGCCCAGCTATGGTTATATTAATGAAAAATATTTCTTATGTTGTTGGGTTAATCACCTTTTAATATTATGAGCTTACAATATCCACCATTACAGATTACAATCTTACAATACAATACATGTTAAACTAAGCAAATCTAGATTTTATGAGAATTTTATTATAATTTATCATCTAATATCATGTACTGGTCCCAGATGATGTCATATTTCCATTCGACATACCCCCAGAGGTATTCCTATTGGCTGCTGCCAAATGAGAAGCTTTCAAGCGATCCAGTTCATTTACCCAAGATCTGACATGTTCGAGCCTATGCCATGCCATTTGCAAAACCTTTTGTGAAGCGTACCCAGATCCCTCATGAGGTTGCCCTGTAGATACTTGAGTCAAATAATTGATTTGATCACTCAGTTTTGATTCCACTTGGTTCAAAGTTCTTAAAAATTGGGATGTATTTGTTTCAGCTTGCTTCTGGCCAGATTTTTCTTTACTTAGCTCCAAAAGTGCTTGAGCTGAAATGAAAAGCACATGAATGATGAGAACCAGTACATATAAAAAATATACTGTCATGCCTTTTCCAATATTAAAGCTAATAGACACTTTTTATTTTGTAAGTATACATGAAAGTTTATCCAGTTTAGACTATTCATTACTATTAAAGGTTAATCACAATAATTATATCAATCACTTATAAATACTAAATAGAAGCATACAATATTGTGTAGCTTTATATGATTGTTACACTATTTACCTGCACACTGCAAGCAGGTTATTATGTCCTTTTCAATATCATCCAAGACTTGAATTCTTTCCATTGGGCCAGCCATGTTGATTGTTGGATTTTAATCTCTTTATCATAAAAAGGAAACTGTAAAGGGTAAAATTGTAATTAAACTTTTCTACTCGTATTGATTCGTTTTTGCCATAGAGTTATTCTATGGTTTTTGCTATAGAAGTATGTACCTACGAGTTGTGGTACGAGTGAGTCGAGTGCAGTTTATTTTAAAATGTAGTACCTAGTTCTCAATAATATTTTAAAATAATTACCTCGAATTCCAAATGTGATGGAAAACAATTACGAATTAATATGACTATTTTCAAAAAGAGAGAAATAATTTACGACAACCAGACAAACAAAATTCGCCCTATCCTGTCTTGTCATTAGTGTCAACTGTCCTGTCAACTTGACAGACATATTTTTTTCTGTTCCCACTGCAACAGGCTAAAATCAAAGACCATGCTGCCTATATAGATGACCCACGCTGAACTGTCCCACCAAACTCAATGACAGGGGGGCGCTACCATCGTTCAACTATATGGTTTCCAACATGGCAAAAATCTGAACCAGCGATCCGGTATTGACGGTGGCGCCCCACTGTCAATGTCATCGACAGGACAGTCCAGTATTTTGGAACTATACTCTGTGGGTCTAGTCAAAATGCCATCGCAAACCGTAGATAGAGAATAGAGACTCTATTCTCTATCTACGTCGCAAACCAATAGGAAGTTTTCACTAATGTCAGTCGCCGCGTCACCAGTAATTCGATTCGATCGGAAAATGGCAGCCAAAATGCACATTGAACCACCAACGACGCGGCGATATAAAAGTTCATTCAAAATCGAATAAAAGTTAAAAAATGTCTATGACTTTGCGATTGTTTTTACTTTTTTTAGGTTTTTTTTTTTAAATTAGTTTCTTCCATGAAGTTAAAGATAAAAATGGAGGCCACACTTTGAACAAAAACTTGAGTCAAATACCTACTTATCTCTATCTCGCTCTCTGTGGGCCGACCTCTCTTTTTAGTGTGGACTGTAGTAGTAAATTCTTCGAAATAGCCAATCAACTAACCAAATCAGAAGTTAAACAAATAAATAATTAAATGTTTGAACTACGTAATCGTAGTTAAATTAAAAATCATAAAATTGTCGGTCTTTTAGGCTTGATGTGTTGGCGAATCAGGGAATTACAATCCCAATTCTTGGGGAATCGGTACCATGTGGCAACATCGGCCCAATCCGGCCCATCATGGCGGTTGTTTACTATTTTGTTTACTATGCAGTTAATTTCGTTTGAGATTTTTTACAGGACCTTATCATTGTTTTATCACAAGAAATGTTGCAAAATTTTGTAGTGCGTGGTTGCGGTAGTACGTGGTGTCCCGGAAGTGACTTAAGATTCCACGCCTAAGTGTTTATTTCGTGATTTCCGACATTGGATCATTGTAAACATTTTTCACAGTAATTTCTTCCTAAAACGTTTTACCAGTTTTTACACTTATTATTGATGATACCTATGTCAAGAAATAAAGATTTTACATTGAGTTTCATTAACTTTGAGCAAATTTATATTTTTTGTTTATTTAGAAAGAGAGAGTCTGCCCACAGAGAGCGAGATAGTGATACATAGGTTGTGCTTCAAGTAGGTATTCGAAGTGTGGCCTCCATTTTATCTTTAGCTTCATGGTTTCTTCCATCTTTCTGTAGGTCTAGTCAAAATGCCATCGCAAACCAATAGGAAGTTTTCACTAATGTCAGTCGCCGCGTCACCAGTAATTCGATTCGATCGGAAAATGGCAGCCAAAATGCACATTGAACCACCAACGACGCGGCGATACAAAAGTTCATTCAAAATCGAATAAAAGTTAAAAAATGTCTATTATGACTTTGCGATTGTTTTTACTTTTTTTAGCTTTTTTTTTTAAATTAGTTTCTTCCTTCTTTCTGCTCTCTGTTTACGTCTATGCTTCGCCGTCAAACTAACTGTCAAAACGACATCGCGATACGGATTTGTCAAAACAGCCTTAAGGTGGGTTGCACCATCTTAGTTTAACTTTGACAAACGTCTAAAATCTGTCAAACTCCATACAAAAAACACCGGTTAACGTCATAGTTACGGTCAAAGTTAGGTGGTGCAACTCACCCTATTGGTTTTCGATCGAATCCAAGCTTATCACCGGGGTTTTAGTAATCGCAATGAAAATGGCGGGTGTTGCGATTCGATTCGATTTTGATTGAGTCTTAAATGCATGTTGGCTAAGCCTTTGTATAAGAAATTTCAATCCAGTCTTTCTATTATCGATAGGTAGGGCTTTGTGATTAGATTTTTTGCCGTTTGGCTAAGCCTTTTTTGTTATCGACCTCTTTTGCGATTTGTTTATTTGTTTGCGACTGGTTTGCGATGGGTTTGCGATTTTAAAGTGCGTTTTGACTAGACCCACAGAGCCCCGATTACGGTAACTTTTAACGTCAACAATCCAGACACGCTTCTCGATTGTGCGATACGATTGGTCAAAACAGCTGACGTACGCTGTTGAACGACCAATCGTATCGCAGAATCGAGAAGCGTGTCTGGATTGTTGACGTTAAAAGTTACCGTAATCGGGGCTCAGCTCTCTGTTTACGTCTATGCTTCGCTGTCAAACTAGCTGTCAAAACGACATCGCGATCATGAAGCTAAAGATAAAAATGGAGGGCAGATTTGGAACAAAAACTTGAGTCAAATACCTACTTATATCTATCTCGCTCTCTGCGGCCCTACCTCTCTTTTTAGTGTGAACTGTAGTATTGCTATCTTCTGATTTAAATCTCCTTNAATCTCCGACTTACCACTTTAGTGGAGCGATTTCAGAAAATAATGGCCTATTAAGTACATGTTTTTTTGTGTTATTATGAAAGTTTAGAAAACTGTGCAGTTTTTAAAATTATTTTGGACCTATGGAAATTCTTTTTTTTTCTCATACATTTCAATTGAAAATTTTAGTATGTTCTCCTAAAAGCATATTTTTAATGTTTCTAGCAAAAATTTTGTATCTTGCATCAAAGATAGGAAGGTGATTATTTTTTTCAAATATCTGCACTTAATAGGGAATCTGTCAAAAAAAAGAAATCTGAGAAAAGTCAACCCAAAAAAATGATAAAAAAAAATTAAGCCACAAGGTCCTGAAATTTGAAAAAATTACAAAATTAACGATAACTTCTAAACTACGAAAAATCGTAGAACATACATGGGGGTGAAATCGATAGGTCTAGTCCTCACCTATCACCTGCCTTCGGCTTGACACCTTACAAGAAACACCCTGTATAGTTATTTAATTTTTAGCGTTAAGAGTCGCATCTCAAACTAATTTAAAAATTATAAATAACTTGAAAAAATCGAACTGCCTAAGGCATCGTGGGTTCAATTCCCGCCTTAGGCAATTCGATTTTTTCAAGTTATTCATATTTTTTTTAAATATGACACATTATGTTAAAAGACCTAACTAAATCTCGAGCACAGTATATGGGCGTATTTGCGTTAAAACGTAAAACGGTACATTAAACGACTTTTTCTAACAGATTTATTATTGATATAGCACATGATAACAATTAAAATAATTACATGCATAAATAAAGAGAGTAATCGCTTAAAATATTGTATTTACGTTGTCATTTAAGTCTCTTTACGTTGAACAATATACATGAAATTATAGAAATATGCCGACGTAAAAGGGCAATGCGTAAAATCTCAAAATATATAAGAAAATTATAAAAATTGATAACAGCAGTAGCAAAAGCATTACATGTTAAGGCTAAATGTGAAATTTCATTAAATTCGTTTTAATAGGTCAGAAGATATGACCCAAAAATATGGTTCTGGCCACTAAAATGGCTCTCCTGTAAAATTTACTTTTTTCACTTACGCCAGTATACGTAGGAGCTACCATCGTTCAACTATATGGTTTCCGACATGGCAAAAATCGGAACCAGCGATCCGGTATTGACGGTGGCGCCCCACTGTCAATGTCAGGGGTAGGACAGTTCAGTATTTTGGAACTATATACAGTATTCCAACTCGGCCATATTTTTGAAATAAATGTCAACAGCCGCGCGGCTCAGTTTGTCTATAAAGTCGTGACATAAAATGAGGGCGCTTTTTTTCTTCATGTAGCAACCCTATACAATTTGATCAAATGAGTTTGATACTAGTGGGTCTAGTCAAAACGCACTTTAAAATCGCAAACCCATCGCAAACCAGTCGCAAACAAACAAACAAATCGCAAAAGAGGTCGATAACAAAAAAGGCTTAGTNGTTGTTGAACAAAGATACCCCTTCCCAGCGGTTTCCATAGCGCACGCGACATGCGAAAATGCACTGCCTGAAAGAATCACACAACCTATTCCGATTACTATGGAAACCGCTGGGAAGGGGTATCTTTGTTCAACAATTACGTGGAAACTAATAGACGTATACTAATAAATTTACATTCATTTTTTAGAATAGCTCAAATACTAATAATACAATGCAAATAAAACATACCTTGATGACCTGGTTTTTCTTGTGTTGGAAAATAACTGAAAAAGAAGTGAAAAAAGTCATGTTTTTTTCTAATTAAATCCATTCTTACTCCCTTAAAATGTATGAATTTTGTATCTGCTTTCTACTTCTACTGATAGATAATTTTATTGGCTATCGCATGATATAAAATTTTTGTTTATTAGTGTTAAGCTACCCACGCTATCACTTGTTTTTGAAGGAAGAAGTGAAAACTTAAAATTCAAAACTTAAATACTTGTAATTTTACGAGAAATGAGTAAAGCCCTAAATTTGAAGTATTTTCATCGATAAAATTGTCAATAGATTACGCCCTTAAAGTTTGACCACTACATGCCCGGACACACTGTATACAGGGTGTTTCTTGTAAGGTGTCAAGCCGAAGGCAGGTGATAGGTGAGGACTAGACCTATCGATTTCACCCCCATGTATGTTCTACGATTTGTCGTAGTTTAGAAGTTATCGTTAATTTTGTGATTTTTTTAAAATTCATGACCTAGTGGCTTAATTTTTTTTGTATCTTTTTTTTGGGTTGACGTTTCTTAGATTTCTATTTTTTGACAGATTTCCTATTAGTTGCAGATATTTGAAAAAAATAATCACCTTCCTATCTTTGATGCAAGATACAAAATTTTTGCTAGAAACATAAAAAATATGCTTTTAGCAGAACATTCTAAAATTGTTAACTGAAATGTATGAGAAAAAAAAAGAATTTCTATAGGTCCAAAATAATTTTAAAAACTGCGCAATTTTCTGAACTTTCATAATAACACAAAAAAACATGTACTTAATAGGCCATTCTTTTCTGTAATCGCTCTACTAAAGTAGTAAGTCGGAAATTCCGTTACATGTTTTTGACT